CTCAAACTTGATAGGAGCGCAAGTCTAGGAGTTCCTTCCCCTCACTACATCTCTGCTCATTTATTTAAATTGAGGTTGTTGGTTGTTTTTTTTTGGTTGTTGTTTTTTTTTTTGTTTTTTTTGTTGTTCCTGGCATCCGTCCGTCACAATGTGACGATGGTGTAGACTTGGCAGGACGAAATCCACAAGGCCTGGGATTATTCTTGTAGGATTATGAGCTGGTTCCCAAAAGTAAATGAACGCAAATCGCCTCTCCCCACGCCGCTGGATAACCCAAGGGGACATCATTGGATGATACAGCTTGGCATCAGTGACGTCGCAGGAGTTGTCGGAATGTTTCATTGTACCAATGTTGTCCGCCTTTGGGACTCCGACTCGGGGTTTTGAATTCAGAGTTTCCTTCTCTTACATAAGTTGCCATCCAAGGTTAATGAGTCCCATCCACCCAGGGTGCAGGGGATCTTTTTGTTTTAGTTTGTTTTTTAATTGAGTTATATTTATTAATATTAGTATAGATAGATAGATATTTATGCTCAAGTCACTATATTTTCATAAGGCCATTTATTCAAGTTTGAAAATCATCTTTTAAAGTTATTAGTTTCAGAATAACACATTTTACCACATTTAATATAAGACTTTGAGGAACATTGCTTTCGCTAGTAATGGATTAGTAAATTTGACTTTCATGAAGAAAGTATAAACAAACAAAAAGTGAAAGAAGAATTAAATGTTCCATCGGCAAAATTATCAAGTATACGATTGAACATATTCTCTTTTTAAACAATGCATGCAAGTTACTGAATTGGTAACCCACTGATGTTGCAACAGCACGGAAATTGAACATGCTAAGTTAAGAGGTGATAGAATATGACAGACTATATAATATGATATCAGTATCAGACGAGGTAAGTATCGGAACCTAGATACATCCTAACCTAGATACACGATACTAACCTAGACATGTCATACTAACCATATACAATTACAATGACTAAATGGCGCAACAAACTGAACTCGACGTCTGATTTATAATTTCAGAAGAATATTTTTTTTAAATTTGACATCATCACATCAGATAGTCCTATTTGAGAATGTTGACATCATCACATCACACAGTCCTATTAGAGAATGTTGACATCATCACATCAGACATTCCTATTTGAGAATGTTGACATCATCACATCAGACAGCCCTATTTGAGGATGTTGACAGCATCACATCAGACAGCCCTATTTGAGGATGTTGACAGCATCACATCAGACAGCCCTATTTGAGAATGTTGACATCATCACATCAGACAGCCCTATTTGAGAATGTTGACATCATCACATGAGACAGCCCTATTTGAGGATGTTGACAGCATCACAAATGACAGCCCTATTTGAGAATGTTGACATCATCACATCAGACAGCCCTATTTGAGGATATTGACACATCACATCAGACAGCCCTATTTGAGAATGTTGACATCATCACATCAGACAGCCCTATTTGAGGATGTTGACAGCATCACATCAGACAGCCCTATTTGAGGATGTTGACAGCATCACATCAGACAGCCCTATTTGAGGATGTTGACAGCATCACATCAGACAGCCCTATTTGAGGATGTTGACAGCATCACATCAGATAGTCCTGGAAATCGTGCCCGCGTGCAGGATACATTTATTCTGGACTCATATAGGGATTGGAGGCTGTCGAATAACTGCATTCATTCACCGGTAATTGTTGAGAACCGAATATCGTGCTCTATTGTGCATGGTGTGGATTGTCTTGAAGTTTAGTTGCTGAACGCTTCAATGTGCATGGTGTGGATTGTCTTGAAGTTTAGTTGCTGAACGCTTCAATGTGCATGGTGTGGATTGTCTTGAAGTTTAGTTGCTGAACGCTTCAATGTGCGCGGTGTGGATTGTCTTGAAGTTTAGTTGCTGAACGCTTCAATGTGCGCGGTGTGGATTGTCTTGAAGTTTAGTTGCTGAACGCTTCAATGTGCGCGGTGTGGATTGTCTTGAAGTTTAGTTGCTGAACGCTTCAATGTGCGCGGTGTGGATTGTCTTGAAGTTTAGTTGCTGAACGCTTCAATGTGCGCGGTGTGGATTGTCTTGAAGTTTAGTTGCTGAACGCTTCAATGTGCGCGGTGTGGATTGTCTTGAAGTTTAGTTGCTGAACGCTTCAATGTGCGCGGTGTGGATTGTCTTGAAGTTTAGTTGCTGAACGCTTCAATGTGCGCGGTGTGGATTGTCTTGAAGTTTAGTTGCTGAACGCTTCAATGTGCGCGGTGTGGATTGTCTTGAAGTTTAGTTGCTGAACGCTTCAATGTGCGCGGTGGGTTTTTTTAAGAGTTAGCTTTTCCTGCTTTTCAGGGGCAAGAAAAACGTGTAAAAATCTGTTGAAATGTATTACCGTTCTTTAATCTTTTGCATCAAAACTCTTAATTTATTTGTTTGTTTTATTTTTTTAACTTTCGTTCGTGCGTTTCTTTGCCGAAAAATCTTCGGAAGGCTAACTGACCTACTTCCCGTCATCCAATGGAGCTGAAACTTGGTATATAGACTCGTTGCTAATGACAACAGTCTAACTAACAAATTTTCAGCTCCCCACCCCAAAAAAAAAATAAATAAAAATAATTAATGAGTTTCCAGTCGTTTTTTCCCAAGGGGAAGATCAAGGAAATATGATTGCCTAATAGATTGACACCACAAACTTTGTTTTTAGGAGTTGCTTCAAGGGGTCGTCCATTAATTATGTCAACAAATAGGGGTGGGGGTGGTAGGGGGGTGATGGGGGGTGATGCGTGCTCTGGACAGTCTCTGGCACCGCGTGCAGGGGATAGTTGCTGTAGTTGGTGATTGTTATAGAGAGCTTGTTTTCATATTTCTCGTGCGTGCCCTCTGATTGACCCCGCATGAGACGCTGTGTTCACAAAGGGGTGTGGCTTAGGTCTTTGAAGTAGCTTGTTTACAATCGGCTTCCAATTACGCATTGGGTAGATTGTCTTCGGGTAATTTCTCGAATGTACTCCTTAACCCGAGATATGTAAACAACACGTTATAGGTCCTTCTGGAAGCGTCTTACGCTACATGTATATAAGGATTGACAGATACAGAGAAGGGACGGAGATTTCAGATAGATTTTCTTAACATTACGAAGCGTGTTTTATTTCTTTGTGTATTTGTGTGCTCATGTGTTTATTTCGCATTATTTATTGGCACATTATTCTAACTGTGTTAACTGTGTACCGGTACAAGATCTACCATACTGTAAGTTGAAGATTGTAATTATATTTTTCTTTTCTTTTGTAATTATCTTAAGACATAATAAATCTTAATTANCCCCCCCCCCCCCCGGGTTTAATGTAAGGATACTATCACCCCACCAGGGTGTAATGTACAGATACTATCAGCCCGCCAGATTGTAATGTAAGGAAACTATTAGCCCGCAGGGGTGTAATGTAGAGATACTATCTGCCTACTTAATCAATGTCTTCAAGTTTGTGCGAGAACTAACTTGTAGTAATTCTATATTCAGTGTGCTAGAGACACCAAACAAGTCCCTGGTTCTATGAGAACTAAAGTGTAGTAATTCTATATGCAGTGTGCTAGAGACCAAACAAGTCCCTGGTTCTATGAGAACTAAAGTGTAGTAATTCTATATGCAGTGTGCTAGAGACACCAAACAAGTCCCTGGTTCTATGAGAACTAAAGTGCAGTAATTCTATATGCAGTGTGCTAGAGACACCAAACAAGTGATCACATGACCCAAAGATACTTACAGAACTTAGATTTTACCCCAAGACACCACACTAATGATGACATGACCCAAAAATACTTACAGAACTTAAATTTTACCCTAAGACACCACACAAGTGATCACATGACCCAAATATACACACAGAACTTAGATTTTACCTTAAGACTAAGACACAACACAAGTGATCACATGACCCTAAGATACACACGTAACCTATATTTTACCCTAAGAGTGACAAATCATTCATCAGATCTTCCATTATATAACAATGCTGAGAATTCAATAAAAAGTGCATTTCAACAGGTAGTTTCATCAGTTTGTATTGTCATATGGGTGATATCACATGAGGACCTAACAGCATTCATAGCCTTTGTATTTCTTCTCTCAACAAAAACAAATAAACAGGTAGCAGAACTTCAACGAAAACAAATAAACAGGTAGCAGAACTTCAACGAAAACAAATAAACAGGTAACAGAACTTCAACAAAAACAAATAAACAGGTAGCACAACTTCAACAAAAACAAATAAACAGGTAGCAAGTAGCAGAACTTCAACAAAAATAAAAAAAACAGGTAGCAGAACTTCAACAAAAACAAATAAACAGGTAGCAGAACTTCAACAAAAACAAATAAACAGGTAGCAGAACTTCAACAAAAATAAATAAACAGGTAGCAGAACTTCAACAAAAACAAATAAACAGGTAGCAGAACTTCAACAACAAAAAATACCTTCCAAAAATGTCTAAATTATTCATTTGTTCAGCATCTTACATTGCCTCAAATTTTCCCACATGAGCTGATATTGATATCATTAAATATTACCATAAAAAAAAAAAAAAGAGAACATTCGCAATTTTGAAATGTTTCAACAAAATAAGTAAGGCATGAATTGAAAAGAAAAGGAAACAAAAAAAAAGGAACAATAATGTTGTCAATAGCATCATTTGTTCAACATCTTACATTGCCTCAAATTTTCCCACATGAACTGATATTGATATCATTAAATATTAACATAAAAAAAAAAAAAAAGAGAACATTCGCCATTTTGAAATGTTTCAACAAAATAAGTAAGGCATGAATTGAAAAGAAAAGGAAACAAAAAAAAAGGAACAATAATGTTGTCAATAGCTAATCATGAAATAGATGGTGACATCTTCCACAATCTATTGTGACATCTTCCACAATCTATTGTGACATCTTCCACAATCTATTGTGACATCTTCCACAATCTATTGTGACATATTTGGTGGGCTCTATGGGCTTAGCTAATCATGAAATAGATGGTGACATCTTCCACAATCTATTGTGACATCTTCCACAATCTATTGTGACATCTTCCACAATCTATTGTGACATCTTCCACAATCTGTTGTGACATATTTTGTGGGCTCTATGGGCTTAGCTAATCATGAAATAGATGGTGACATCTTCCACAATCTATTGTGACATATTTTGTGGGCTCTATGGGCTTAGCTAATCATGATATAGATGGTGACATCTTCCACAATCTATTGTGACATATTTTGTGGGCTCTAGGGGCTTAGCTAATCATGAAATAGATGGTGACATCTTCCACAATCTATTGTGACATATTTTGTGGGCTCTATGGGCTTAGCTAATCATGAAATAGATGGTGACCTCTTCCACAATCTGTTGTGACATATTTGGTGGGCTCTATGCACTGAAACCAGCAGCTGAAGTTTAATCTAAAGATGGCAGAATTCTATGACAGCACGCTTTGGTTTGGAGAGTAAGAACATGTTAGCATACTTCAATTTGCTTAACTTGTTTCATCTACGGGTACTGCATCATGGATGTATGCCATTCTGCCTCGGTTTATGAAAACCAGTGCTCTAAGTGTCGTAGCATCTGTAACATCCGTAGCATCCGTAACATCAAATAATTCAAGTTTTCATTTTGCTTCTCTGGATAGGAAAGAAAAAAAATTCACCTTTGCACTTCATCAGCCTTGACATTTCTCTCATTAACATCAGTTTAAGGTGCCGGTAGTCAATCTCTCACCACAGTATTTGAACCTTCAAGTAAATCAAACACCTTGTGGGATACTGGGTCATTAGTAAGTAATAGTGGTAACAAGGAAGTAGTACTCTAAGAGCATATTTTCTGTGATAGAGGACTAGTTGCCACACAGTGGTTTCACATCTGTACTTTAGTATTGAATGAGTAGCTCTTGACAAAAAAATTAAGGTTATTCTAATCCACACAGGGGTGGGGGAGGTGCACAAGCTGCAGGCTAGGCTTAATCTTTCTTCACGACCCTATCTTGTACTTTGGCAAGAAGTTCCCTGGGTTGGGCCGTGGCATTCAGCATATCTACAACATAGGACCAGATTGCAACTCAAGTCCCAGCCAGGTCAAGCTCGGGACACTAGTTTAGATACTATTCCATTGTTTCACAGGGTTAGGGGGTAATGCAGGCAGTAGGTTATCTTCTAGAGAGAAAAAAATCAGCAAAAATGTTTACTTTTTTTTTTTAACTTAAAGATATAAAATAACTATTGCAAACAGCTCGGTATTTCTGAAACAAAGGAATTGGATTTAAAAAGCAACATTTTTACCTTCAACTGATAAGCTACCTACAACTGATAGGCTACCTACAACTGATGAGCTACCTACAACTGATAAGCTACCTACAACTGATGGGCTAACCTACAACTGATGAGCTTCCATTTCCATAGATATGTCTTATCTTTTAATTTAATTTTTTTTTAAATTCCAACTTTTGGCAAATTAGTAGTGGTTTGCTTTTGCCAGGGTAAGAAAACTTTAAAATGATAGTTTTAAACTAAGTCACTTTCTCAGACTTTCTGTGTGCAGGTTTAAAGTCTGAAAGCTACTGATATTACTGATAAGGTCCAGCAACAACTTCAGTCAGACAATTTTGCTTACTTCCCTTCCCTAATTTTCCTGAAAAGAAAGGACACTGTTAAAAGACTGTAGACACTGTTAAACACTATTAGACTGTAGACACTATTAGACTGTAGACACTGTTAGACAGTAGACAGTTAGACTGTAGACACTGTTAGACTGTAGACACTGTTAGACAGTAGACACTGTTAGACTGTAGACACTGTTAGACAGTAGACACTTTTAGACAGTAGACACTGTTAGACTGTAGACACTATTAGACTGTAGACACTGTTAGACAGTAAAAACTGTTAGACTGTAGACACTGTTAGACTGTAGACACTGTTAGACAGTAGAAACTGTTAGACTGATGACACATAATTTTGATAAATCCACACCATAAGTACTCAAACATATTTATTGAATAGTATTTGGCTTGGTGACAGCTTTCCACTGAGTAGACTACATCGTCAGTTTGGCAGCTTTCGACTGAGCAGACTACATCGTCACTTTGTTTTTATTATTTGTTTCAAAGAATTTGGACTCATTCCAAACAGCTTCAAAATATTAAAAGTTACATACAGTACCGGTACATTAAAAATATACTTTATAGTGACAAAGATGGCACATCTTTTCCATCATTTATATAATTTTATTTTATTTATTTTCACAATTTTAACCAAGGAACAAGGACTGAAATCAAGAGTTAATTTTTTTTAACTGATTCTATTTTTTCTCTTATTTGTTTATATTTCAGCATGCTGTGTATATTAATTAATAAAGAACAGCAAAACTCATTTAAGAGAGAGTTGTGTACAGGCAATGACTAATCCAGTAGACTCTCTAGATCATTTGCACCAGTGTAATTTCTGAATTTTTTTCCTCCATTTTTTTGCCCCCTTAATCTGCAAGCAGGCAGGGGAAAAAAATTATGTTAAAACCCTTCAAAAAAATTAAAATACAATTGAAAAATGAAAGATGCATAAGAGAGGAACAAACTCTTCCACACAAAAAAAAATGAACAGATTTGACTAACATGAGCAATGTGGACACTCGTGAATTTGAGACACGAGGAGATTAACATTACAAGCAAGAAACAAGTTTCAATTAAATAATCAAGGTTCCAAACACAAAGATCACAGCATTCCAAAGCCTTTGGAGTAGTTAATGGCTTTCAACAATCTGTCCTGGAGTTTCTCCACAGTGGGGTATTCTGGGAGCAGTAGCACGTTGAAGCAAGTGTGGGATGTGGGCAGTCTGAAAAAACAATTTTAGCATTCAATCGGCAACTAGTGACCATTGCAATTTTGTTTAAAAATAACTGCATCATTTCAAAATTGTTCACTATTAATCCAAGCTTTCTATCGGAGTAGCAAAATGATCAATTCATTCTTTCTAAATATTATAACTTAGAAGCCTCATGAAATATAAAACTAATTTTTTTTTTTCTGTAAATAAATACAAATTTGCCTTCATTAGCTGAACCTTATGTTTATATCAATGTATTTAAAAACAACAAAAACCTTAAATATGAAGAGGAAAGGTTATGTAATAGATCCTCAAAAGGTTGGTTTTTTTTTTACTAAAATACTTAGGCATGACATTTTTTTTTTTTTCATTTAATTTGTTCCTGGTTCTCAAGTTAGTGCATAAATTTAAAGCACTGTAACAGGTGTGACCTACATAATCCACTAAGTCTGTTTCTAATTAAGACCCATGTAGGAGATACAGATATGACCTTCATACATCCACCAAGTCTGTTTCTAATTAAGACCCATCTGGGCGATACAAGTGTGACCTACATACATCCACCAAGTCTGTTTTTAATTAAGACCCATCTGGGCGATACAAGTGTGACCTACATACACCCACCAAGTCTGTTTCTAATTAAAACCCATCTAGGCAATAATGAAATTGTTTTTTTAACTATCAAATAAAACTGAGCCTATCTGGAATCTTTTTTTTTTTAAGGATTGTTTGTGAAAGGCAAAGTCAAGTCTTACACTGACCTTTGAAAACTACAGGGCAAAGTCAAGTCTTACACTGACCTTTGAAAACTACAGGGCAAGGTCAAGTCTTAACTGACCTTTGAAAACTACAGGGCAAAGTCAAGTCTTACACTGACCTTTTAAAACTACAGGCCAAATAGTTTGTACATATGAGAAATGATATCAGAAATAATATGTACATATGAGAAATACTTTGTACACAGAAAAATATTTACACATTAGAAATAATATGTACACATAAGATAAAATATGTACACATTAGAAATAATATGTACACAGAAAAATATTTAAACATTAGAAATAATAATATAAACATCAGAAATAATATGTACATTTCAGAAATAACATGTTCATATGAGACATAACATGTACACATGAGAAATCACACATACATTAGGAGAAATTAATTTTGGTTTGAATCTTTAGTCAACAAGGACTGAATAAAAGTTGCCAAAACCATTGGACATCCCTTCAGTGGTACACGATAATAATACTAATAAACCTATGTTACTGGGTGAATTACCTGTCAGAGTCAGGACCATTTCTGGCAATGATCATCTTGAGCTTTGAAAGACCTCCGACGGGTACCCTATCTGTCCCTGTGGTAAACTGTAGCAGCTTTTTTTTATCCTCTTCTGACATGGCATGAACCACAGTCCAAAAGTTTCTGTTGAGACAAAGGGTTTAAGTTACGGTCAAGACAAGGGGGGTAAGTTACGGACAAGACAAGGGGTGTAAGTTACGGTCAAGACAAAGGATGTGAGTTACTGTAAGGAGCCTTAGTTCAATGTTAAAATTTTATAATCACATTTTTTAAGAACTGACCAAAGGTCATGCCATATGGTTATTTCGTCTCGGCATGACGGCATACACATTAAAAATGTTTCAACAGAAAAATTCACTCTAATGTCTCCCAATTAAAAATTACATACAACATAACATTCTTTAAAAAAAAATTTTTTTTTACATATTGACTGAGCCGCAGTTTTGACTTTCACATTGCTGCAATATCGCACACTTTACACTGTGTAAGTAGTAATCTGTTTTAACAGGATGTAATACCTAATTGTAGCAGAGTCATCTGTAAAACCGCCATCATACTCTGTAGCTTCTTCTAATGCATGGAAATCAAATATCTGAAGTCCAAAGAATGAGGAATTTCAATAATGGTAACATGAGTTTCAATAATGATAAGAGGAGCTTCAATAATGATAAGAGGTGTTTCAAAAATGATAAAATGAGTTTCACTAATGAAAAGAGGAGTTTCAATAATGATGAGTTTCAATAATGATAACGAGTTTCAATAATGATAAGATTTTTTTTTTTTTTGCTGGCATCCGTCCGTCACAATGTGACGATGGAGTGGGCTTCGTAGGACGAAATCCACATAGCCTGGGATTATTATACTTGAAGGATTATAAGCTGGTTCCCAACAGCAAATCGCCTCTCTCCACGCCGCTGGGTAACCCAAGGGAACATCATTGGATGATACAGCTTGGCACCAGTGACGTCGCAGGAGTTGTCGGAATGTTTCATTGTATCAATGTTATCCGCCTTTCGGGACTCCATCTCCGGGTTTGATTTCAGAGTTTCCTTCTCTTAGATGAGTTGCCGTCCAAGGTTAACGAGTCCCATCTACCCGGGGTGCTGGTGGTGTTTTTGCTCTAGCTGGAATTGAACTCCAGACCACCAACTTGAGATTTGCTCAGTTTAGACCACTCGGCCACCCAGCACCCAATAATGATAAGATGAGTTTCAATAATGATAAGAGGAGTTTCAATAATAAGATGAGTTTCAATGATAAGATGAGCTTCAATAGTGATAAAACAGTTGCCCTGTGATAAATTTTAAATAGATTGATTAAAAGACACAAACTATCAGTGTATCAAACAATTATCTTAAAGCTGAAATGAATTGAGACCAAAAATAGTAAATAAGTATGGACTACATTCTTTTAACAGTTTTTTTTTTAATTTAAAGTAGGTGAAATAAGTTCAAAACATTCATTTAGAATAATTTTTATTTAACACATAAAAAGGTGGCCACAAATCCAATACATACACGTATAAATGTGTAATCCCAAATTTCTATATATGCTTTTTTTTTTTAGTTAAGTTTGAATGATAACAATTCATTAGATCTAAAATTTGTTTAGAAATGTTGACAACGATGAGATATCTTTTCAATTGTTAAATAGAAAGTACTCTGTACAGTTATGCGTAGACTTACAGTTACCACATTCTCAGCCAGTACTTACCTGACTCCCACAAACCAACATTTCAATTTCTTCTGGACGGAACAACTGTTTAAGAGGGGATTCTGAAGTCACCATGAGAAATCCACGTTTGAAGGCTCTAAACTGCTGGTCAATGGATTTGTTCAGCAAATAGTCGGCATAGAGGTCAACAAATTCCTGAACAAGGACAGATTTTTATCAAAACTAAACATCTTTGATTGAGAGGGAAAGTGCCAATGTTATGGCTGTGTTTGAAAAAGGGACTTTAACTAGCATTACTTAACTGTGTTTGTAGAGTAAGCCTTGAGAATAACTAGCTAACCTGTTTATTTTCCTGAGAGACCATTGTTGACTCTCCATTCTCTTTCAAATCATATGTATGATTGTTACCAAACACATCACTATACCCAATCCGGAAAGTCTGATCAAACACCTCTTCAAAATCCTCAAGCTTATACTCCAGCATTTCCTTTAAACTTGCAAATAAAGTCTGAGGGTATAAAGTTGGTCATTTTAAACTTGCCATTAAAGTCTATAAAGTTGGTCATTTTAAACTTGCCATTAAAGTCTATAAAGTTGGTCATTTTAAACTTGTCATTAAAGTCTATAAAGTTGGTCATTTTAAACTTGCCATTAAAGTCTATAAAGTTGGTCATTTTAAACTTGCCATTAAAGTCTATAAAGTTGGTCATTTTAAACTTGCCATTAAAGTCTATAAAGTTGGTCATTTTAAACTTGTCATTAAAGTCTGAGGGTATGAAATCAATTTTTTAAAAGAATAAAGTGTTTGGTATTTCTATGCACACGCTCATTCCAAAAATCAATGTAGCTTGATAGAGTTATTTCAGACATGCGAGCTCAATTAGAAAAGCTCATAATGCAATCATTTGAATATCAGAATTAGCAAAAGACACCCTGTTGTCCTGCTATATAAGGCCAGTGACAAAAATTAGTAATATTTCTGCATGGGCTCATTCAATATGGTCTGAAATGAGCTTTGATGTAAGATGCTGTGCCGTAAAAAACAAATTAAGTAATTAGAGAATTTCAGAGTTGAGCCTTATCTTTGGAAAGCATAACTATGGCACATAAAATAATATTGAATAGTTTGTACCCACCGGATCCACATCATAAAGGTCTCTGAACGTTCCTTTTTTGCCCATGAGTTTCCGATAGACCACCATAGGAAAGTGTATGTCTAAAATACAGCTGTTGTAGATGGCTAATCCAAGAAGTATACCAATCAATGTAAACTGTGCATCATTTTCAAACGACAGAGAATTGAACCAAAAGTGATGAGATTGTTCATTGTATGTGAACATACCTAATAGAAATTAGCACAACAATATTAACATTGGTTCAAACACTTCAATGACACACACATAAATAAAAACAATTATGGTATACAATTTAAAATTGTCAGCATAATGAATGAATTGAAAGTAGTATTCCAAAAAATTATTGTTTAAATTTTATTTTAAGAAAGTTTAGACATTAAGTAATTAATAACATACTCTGATATAATACATTTCAAAGTTGACAAAATTTTTACAAAAATTTCACTCAACCACTTATAAGTTCATTGTTGGTGAAAGATGTATATTTCTATGATTGATTTGAACAAACCTATATCAGGATTGAACAATTCCTCAACTATTAGTTGAAAGAACTCTTTGGAAACACCTCCTTCATCAAGACCTTGCTCTCCATCAAACTCAACAAACAGTTGTTTGCGTAAGTCGCTAGGGTTCTCCATAGCAATCATCTCCAACTGTTCAGAATAGTACATGACAATGAGCTTTAGCAAGTGATCAATGAGGACAGAACAAAATCATTTGAAAGAAAAGCAGAAAGTAAACCAAATCTTGCTTACGTTAACAAGAGCATCATCAATGATGTGGTCCCTCCTGACTCTAACCCTGAGGAATGGGTTTGGGGGTCCACCGTGCACCAACGTTTGTACAAATGCTGTTCTCCGTTCATGCAGCATGCGGATGCGGTTGTCATAGTACATGCTGGTGTGCTTCGACGCCGTTGTTAGTATGAAACAGTAGGGCACAAAAGAAAACTTGTTCTCTGGTTCTAGCCTGTGGTTGGTGTAGTCCACACCTATGTCTAAGTTGTCATTGAGTGGTTCATTGATAAAGTCCTCATAAGGTATAAGGGGTTCCCTGCAATTAATGACTTGAACCCCCACTTCTTTTCCAAGGGGATCTTCCTTCACAGGAGATGATTCTTTAGGTTCATAGCCAAAAGCGCCTTGCATGAGTTCTAGAAGTGATTCTGAGTCATTTAAACGTCTCTCCTCCTCCACCAGCTCAGTGCTGTCCATGTGTCCTCCAAGCATGCTGGCATAGTACAATATCTTGAGAACACGAGTGGCACTTGTGATGGCAGAGTCATCACTTGGCCGGAAGTTTGCTGACCATCTGCCTTCATAGTTTATAACCTGGAGAAGATTTGAAATTTTAACAGGATTGTATTTATTTATAATTTTACTACCTAATGATAGGTGAGGATGCCAGACGTGTTCACCCTCAAACTCTTAAAATCGTACAACATCATCACAAAATCATTCAATACATTATCTCAATAGTAAAAAATAAACATACAGTATATATAATGCATACATTTCAAAAGTGTACACTGTACGCCAAGATTGTATGAGTAAACAGATCTGGGATGTTTAACAAGTATTGGAAAGGGTTGAAATTAATTATCAATCGTATTTTAACAAGAGGATAATCTAATTGAATCACTTTGATGATAACAAAAATCTGAGACTCATTTAAATGATTTGGTAGGCCATCTATCAGTATATAAATGAGTACTGGCGGCATCTTGGTAGAACTTAGATGCTATGTCATCTAACACATAGATGCAGTCATTTGTAAATATGTCGAGTGAATGCCTAAGTTTTACATACCGATACATGTTTTTGCAAATTTAATCTGTTTTAAGATTTAGCTATTTGAAGTTGGTTGAACAAAATGTAACAAAGGACTAAAATCCAGTGCACAAAGAAAACCGATACCAAAGCTAGTGATATTAACGACATTAAATTTAATTATACTAATAAATTTAAATAAAAATACAAAAACAAATATACAGAAATAAGAACCATATTAACTTATAGCACAGCAAGTGAAAAAGTATAATTCACAAAAGATACAAATATTAATGTACACACACACATAAAAAGTGAAATCATGTTAGGCTCCTATAAGTATAATATGACTCATAGTCGTTTCTAGGAAATCTAGCAAAAATCTCTTTTTTGGTTAGGAAAGGTGCCAACTTATTTATAGGAAGGGAGTTGGAGCCCTCCACAGAAGAAATTCCTGAAATTGCATCAGCCGATAGCATTCTTTAGAACGAATTTGAACGTTAACAAACTTTTTCCAATCAAGGGAGGGTCGGATAATTTAATGGGTGGCGTAAATATCATTTTTTTTTAAATAGGAGAGAGGGGACGTAAGGTTGAATTAACAAAAGTTAGGTCAACACACAGGCTATAAAACTAAGTGCATAATAATTGGTAAATATAGATTTATGGGAGGAGAACTTTTACATTTTAAAAATGCAGCTTGTTGATGCCAATTTGACCAATATTTGCGGCAAAGTTTGAAATCTTAGGGTGCCAAGTGTCAAATCAAAACTAACAAATGGTCCAAAAGGAACACACAAAACATTGTAAACAGACCCGGATACCATGGAACTCCCAAAATAGTAAAATATCCTGTCATAATAGTACTTGACAATTTCAAAATAGTTTAAATAGTTTTTTTGTTTCTGTAATCAAACGTGACTTTGTATAGAAATTTAATAGTCTAATTAAATTTAAATATTGTTAGGATCACTAGCTTTGGTATCATTTATTTGCAGGCTGTTTTTTCTCAGTCCTTTTTTACATATTGTTTATTCTATGAGCAAATAGATTAAATTAGCCACAATGGTACATAACAGTGCATTTATGCCAAGAATAAAAAAAATAATAATTGCTTACGTCAACGAAGAAGTAAGTACATTTGTGATACATCCAGCAGGCCACGATTTGGCCACCCCGGTATTAAGCCTGATTTTATTTTCCATTAACATATCATGGTCTAATAACAACAGTAATCTGTACTTGAAGAAGGGAAGAGTGCTTGAACAAAACTGTTGTATTAAAATTATACAGCAGCTAAGTGACTTCTAAAAATAGATTTCAAATGCAGCTTACTAAGAGCTTATACAACATTTCAAATCTTATGCTGCTGTGTGGAGCAGTTGAGAATGCATGAATAAAATTGAAAAATTCTGCCCTTTTCTTTAAATAAAACCTATCAGAAACAGACCAAAGTGACAATACTTAGAATTCTATATTAGAAGGGGAAAAAAATATATTTCTCACCTTGACTGTAATCAATTGTTGTAATGATTGCACCATGTCTTTGAGACGACTTTGATCAAAAGTCGACCATATTCTGGCTAGTCTAGCTTGAGCACTTACAGGTAACAAACCTATAACTTTGTTAATTCCCGGAAAAGCAGTTTCAAGATATTCTGGGAAATGGAGCATTGGTATCTCCATGACGACAATAAAAACATTAATGTAATCTGTTTGTCTCTCTAACACTTTATTGTACTTTGTCTCATATTCCAGTGTCTGGGAAAGAGCTGTCAGAGCATTGATCAGAGCACCTTGATAAGGCTGATCTGGCACATCCATCAACAGCTTAAAAGCCCGTCTTAAGGCTGGAAGGTCAACTGTTAAATCAGGATCCTTTATGCTACTCACTGTAGGAACCGTTGGAGACTCTATCCCTGGCTGACTGATGGGTGGTGAACTAGAATCATCAGGTGAGACCAAGTTAACTTTTGGTGGGCTTGAAACTGGGTAGCTTTTCCGAAAACTCATAATAATAGATTCAGGATTGTTGAAAACAGAGCCAATGAGGTGGATGAGCTTAAGCCATTCGTTACTGGCTTGGCAATCATGAATTACAGCACTTAGTCTCTCTTCTGTTAAGTAGTTGGGTTCTTTAACTGGGGGGGGGAATAATTTATTAAATTACAATATTAAAAATGTTGAAGTATTATAAACAACACAAATTAATTATTTTTTTGTCAATGGTATGCCATATTGTATCTAAAAATGTTTGGACGAAAATAAAAAAAATTCCCTAATATCAGATAAATCTAAAATGACATTGGTCCCATGAATATTCACACCAAAGAAATTTCTAAAAAGTAATTTTGACATACCCCTAGAAATGTCTAATATTTCCCCTTTGACTGAGTTAAAGCTAACTACCACACCCCATCCCCCAACCCCCCTTAAAGCTAACTACGACACACCATCCCCCAACCCCTCTTAAAGCTAACTTCAACACCCCACGATCGCAAGAGCGNCCAACCCCCCTTAAAGCTAACTACCACACCCCATCACCCAACCCCCCTTAAAGCTAACTACAACACCCCAACCCCCCTTAAAGCTAACTACCACACCCCATCCCCCAACCCCCCTTAAAGCTAACAACATCCCATCCCCCAACCCCCCTTAAAGCTAACTACAACACCCCACACACCAACCCCCCTTAAAGCTAACTACAACAAAAAAATGAAAATTAAACAAAAATTTTTTTCAAAAAATGACTTGAAAGTTAATGGCTAGCTGTTCTCCTTTGGCTTACTTTCAGAGTTGCTGCCATGAGGTGATTGTGAAGACCCAACATCAACTGATGATGATGCAGTTGGTGATAACATTTTGCTTTTAGTTCTCATACCCAATTCCTTGGATGCAACCAGAACAGAAGTGTCCAATGTCCCATTTTCTTGCTCTGTAGGAAGACGAGAAATTTTTCTTGGACGCCTTTCGCATAAAGTGGCTTTAGCCTTAGACAGAGTTATTGCCTCTAGGGCCAAAGTGTTGTTATCACTCTCTTTAAACCGGAATGTCCTACTAGAGGCACAATTTTCATTAGTGCAGGATTCATTGCCGCAGCCTTCTGTGAGCTGGTTGAAGTACTGAAATATCACCTGTTGGGCTGCACCACGTTTGCTGTCAAAATACATTAGAAACAATTGTCAGAATGAAATTTTATGAGCTATCCAATATTTTTGTTTGTAAGTTGTTATTTTTTTAATTCTGTCACAAAGACTAAGAGAGGGTTTAAAGAATTCTTTGATTTCTACTTACGACATATTTTCTGTAGATTCAGACACTTTTGGCACTTTACCACTCAGAGAGTGTTCAACTGTCAGGTCACTGTAGAAAGAAAAAAAAAAATGAAAATTCCAGAACAAAATTTTGTGAGAGATGCTTTGGCAATTTCCTAAGAAGTGAACACATATTTTAAGTTAAAAGCAATTTTTTAAATCTTAATTAAATTAGTAATTTATTCGGTTATCTTTGTTTCCACCCTGTATCAAATAATTCTACCCAGTTGAAAGAAAATAGCTGCAACTCCATGTGATATCTGTATAATTTTCAGGGAACTAATATATTAGAATAAAAAAGCTATCAAACGTTTCCACCTCAAACCCTCAAAGTTAAACCAAATAAGTAATTTTCCAGCTAGAAAGATATTGTTGTACTGAAAATATTTCCTCTTGTCCTTTTGATTTGGTTATTTTAAATTAGACTTGTGTTATTGCACTTTTCAAAGCATTTTAGACATTTACTTGTAGAAAAAAACAGACGTACTCCTCAACAGTTGTTCCTGAAATTTATTTTTTAACGCCTCTGCTGAGTTGCGCATGGTCCTAAAATTAAATTTACAACTAGTTTCAAATTAACATATACTATGATGTCAGATATCTAAAATAGTCTCATTTCAAAGTTGTTAATATTAAATTACTAAAAATTAATGTATAGGTTAATGACAATATTATTTTGATGTTATGTGCAGATTTCATTTTATTTTATGTATTTTCCAGTTACCCTAAAGCTTTTAAAAACATCATCAAATACCCAGACACAGATAAGAGAAAAAAAAATTGTATAATGGATGCCACATTTGTAGCAATAACAGTTTTAAAATAATTTTGGTGAGGGTACGGTAATTAAAATGAGTACATTAATTTTTTTATTAACTTGAAAAGATTAAAACTATTATATTCTTCAACCTTATTTAACATATCATTACATATACAGCACATCTTTTACTTTTATTTATAACAATAATTAAACAATAATTATCTTTCTTTAATGCAGATGGGCTTTTTATTATTGGTAGTTGAAAAATGATTTCAGTTTTTGTAAAACTATACTAAAAAAACGGAGGTCACCATTTTGACAACCTAATTAAGATTTAGATTTCAGGTTATCCCGCTTGTCACCAAGGTTCCTAAATTAGTTGAATAACAATTAATTTAAACAATAAATGAGTTTTTTAAAATAAAAATAATTTAAAAATTGAAAATGAGAAAACAAAAATTTGCTTAAAGTATCAACAGAGATTAAAATCGAAATCTTTTGAATACGGAGCTCATGAATACGGAGCTCAATACGTAGCTATACTATAGACAGACGTTGACAGTGGTGGGGGGGGGACCTCCATAACCTATAGACCATGGAACATATCACAATCACAGGCCTTACGGCTAACCCAAAATAAGCCAAAGTTTGGTATATATTGTACTTTTCTACCAGTAGAACATTGTAGTTTTGTAGGAATCGTTGTGTAAGCGTTTTATATGAAATTACTCATCTTGGCCTTGGCTAAATTTACCATATTTAATTTGTTTTTCATAAATTTAGGCCTATAAAAATGTTAAGTGCTAGCCCTAGACCCGTATATTCACAATACATAAAATGCTCACAATAATTCAGTGAGTTGACTCAGTTGAGTGAGTACAATTCTTAGTACTGAATTGATTGAACATGGACATGTAGTCATATATCATATATGTAATAGTAATTTGGCATTTAATCTGTATGATTATGATTCCGATTGAATATGAATGGGATAATTACTGTAAAATTAAAATACCTTGCGGACTCTTGTCCGTCCAGTGAACCGGTGTTCTGAATTGAACTCATGCGAAAGCAAACAACGAAATTCAACAGATTAGTAGTAGTATTCAGATATTAGTTATTGTATTTCTAGTTGTAAAGTCATAGTAAACAATAACCAATGTCGTACATCAGATCGCCATTTTGTGTGTTAATATCTCGTATGTTCTCGTTATCTCAGACAGTTACTATTTGACAGATTTTTAAATGTTGGATTTTGTTGTCTAAGTTCAGTTATGCAAAAGTCTGGCTTGAGACATTTTCCCTCGTGTCATAAATAAGTTTATAAATTGTTACTCCTTTCATAATTTTCAATTTTCTTGTATCTTAATTAACTTATTTTAATGATTTTAACATTGTCTACGGATGTGTACAATTATTTTTATAAGAGACAGATTGGCAAAGTGATCACTCTTCTTTAAAAGGAGTTAAACTACAACACATAAACAAAGCACAAAAACAAACCGATGCGACACGAATTGACCTTTTACCCATGCCTAAGGCCAAGTGTACGTAATAATAACAGTGATGAAGAGTCTCTCCTTCAGTCATTAAATTCAGTGATGCTTTTATTTGAATCTCTGATCTTTTGTGTTACGTTTATGCTCCAAATACTCATACCACAATCTAAAGCTCAGCATCTACAAAAGGAATAAACTATTAATTGGCTCTTACTGCTTACTCTTTGAGTTGACTTGAACTTGAAATTTCTTTACTTTCACTTTCAGACTCAGGGCACAATGAAATCCCAATAGCAACCCCCCACCAACCCGAAGCTAAGGGAGGGAGGGCCGGGAAGCAGCACCCCCCGGAATGCCCCCTATATTATTACTGGGCTACCCCTGGAATTGGAATGCTGCTAGTTAGTTAAGTTAGTAAGTAAGGAAATAAATGACAACAATTATAATTATGAGAAAACCACTAAAATTAAATAAAAATCACAGCTGAAATGTAGCATCCCATGGGGCAGCAAGTAGCATCCTTATCAAATAATCAAGGGGTGGTGGTTACAATGAATTGGGCCCTAATTTGGGTTCTTATGTCTGACTACCCCTGGACAATATATATAATATAATGCTATACCAGGGCTGCCAGTACACCCTGGGGGTGTGGGAGTTAGTGTCAGAGGTGCGGAAAGACCCAGAAAAAACAGGTTTATCTCAGCTGCATTTTTATTAGCATTTTTTTAAATTGTGTGTGGTACAGGAAATATGTTTTAAAATTGAGATGAGGGTATGGGAAATGTTTTGAAAACAAGAAGGGGTGCGGCACTGCGAAAATGTTGAGAAACCCTGGCCTCTACTAAAGTGTATGATTACATGTAGCCTAATAATATCGATTTGAGCCAAAGTTTCTAAACTATACTTTCCCATGAAATCAGTGAAATGTTAAATTAGCTCCCTTCTTAGCTTGCTCTCACAATCCCTACTGATTGTACTTGTTCATCAGTCTTGAAATATTCTGAATTTACACTAACACTTGAGCATATACATCTGAACTGAGCACTTATTATTTCAAATCTTAACATAATAGTTTTATCAATACAATGCTTTAGATGAAAAAAGTAACTTTTTAAAAAATGAACAACTCGGAACTAAGGTGCACAAATAGTTTTGGGTATTAACCCACTTATCCCTATGTACCCACCCCACATACTCTAATTGCTTTCTAGCCCCTTACTTCCCTAACCGAATTCCTTACACTGGGCCCACTTTCTCTCACTTCTCCCCATTGCCTTAGTCCATACGCTGTCAAAATAAATTAACAGTTTTAGAGACTAAAAGTAAAAGACATCAAAATAACCTAATTCAAAATGTAAATTTTACTAATGATCAATTTACAAAAGTTTGTTAGATTATTAGATATTATTTAATTTTGTTTTTAAACTTTGTAATATTAATTTGCAAACATATTTTAGATCACATGCCTATAAAATCATATGGTATATAGTATCACTAGGCATTAACCCTAATCATAAATGTCAAGATGAAAGAATTATTTAAAAAATGTCAATCAGTATGATTGTGTGTTGTTGTTTTTTTAAACCTGTTCATATCTGTTAAAATAAATACTATTTTATTTATTTTAAATGACTTCGTTTCCTTCTGTATCCACAGATGAAAAATAAAGAATAAAATCTTGCCTCAAAAACTAACAAAAATGGTCAAGAAGGTTTACACACCTTTTCAGCTTTTACGTTATCCTCTTGTGTTTGGCGGTGTTTTACTGGCTTACTTTACTGCCTTTTCTTACAGGTAAAGAAATTAGAGTTTTTTATTCAATATTAAAACAATTAAACAAAACAAACGCTTAATGTTAAAAAAATGGATTGTTTCTGCTTAGGCTTAAGAGAAGTTAATATATTTTGTAGGCCTTTAAACTACAGTGAAATAAATACAGAAAACAATTTTTGAATTAAAACACAGACACATTTATCTAAATTCAAATAAGTTCCAAATGGGATTTATCTTTCTGATGTTCACACGTAATGGTTAAACTTACAATTAAAAGTTTTACATGCAGAGTATCATAAATTTATGAATGAGGGTCATCCATTAATGACGTGTTTGACAGCCCGCTCTCCCCCACTTGTCACAAAAAATTAGACCTCCCTCAAATGTTATTTCATAAACCTCTGCATCCCCAACCTCCATAAAAAAAAAAAGGGCCCATTACTGTCCTTTACAAACTCTTAAAAAAATCAGATTCCATGGATATCAAATTACTGCACCTGTGTCAGAAACTTTTCCCTAGACAATGGTTATTAAACTGGGGTGCGGAAGACCCAGAAAATTGTATTTTCTGCCATTGCCAGTTGTTGCTACCTTTAATTTTTATGCATTTGATAAGCAGCCGTAAATGTTTTTGTGGTGAATTTTGTTTGCGCATTAATTGTATTGGTGCATTTTTTTCTTGTTTCTAGAAAGTTAATTAAAGAAATAATCTACAAAAGCTAAACTGTTTAATTATTTTCATTTTTTATATGTTATTACAATAATTTAACCGGGGTGGGGTTTGAAATTGTGAGGAAATTCAGTGCAGCGCTGCAAAAATAAGTTAATACAACATTCCCCCCTTTCCCAGTCAACCATTTTTTTACCCCATCCAACTTCATGTAATTCTCACAACTGTCGAATTACACACTAATTCTCCTCTGTGGCATCCTGTGACTTGATAAGAGCCATTTTTCGGACCTTGCATTTCACACTCTCAGAAATAACAACAATGATTGTAGTTTAAAAAATAAAATAATGATAATTGTTGTATAATTGAATAATGTTAAAAATGTCTGTAATTGAGTGTTTTCAGTGCAATTTGTTTTCAATAGTTTTGCACTTGTTTATGTGAGTCACATTGCTAAAGTGAGAAAAATTGAAAAAATATTGTAGATAATAATCTAATGCACTGGATAACCAATTTTTTTTTAAGGCTATATTTACTTTTAGGCTTAGTTTTTCGCTTTCAACTTTTTTTTTTCTTCAAGTTTTTAAAGTATGAAATTATAATATACGCGAAAAAATTCAGTACAGGTAGCATTACTTTGAATTGGGTTATTAACTAAATTAGTAAAATTATACATTTTATACAATTATACATATTAGTTTACTAAGCTGAAAATTTTTTGACATCAACAGTTGGAGCCAGACAAAAAAATCAAATAAGATTTATTTAATTTTTAAAAGTTCATGCTTTTTCCTTTTTTATCTCTTTTCAGAAAAAATTATTTTAAGGAGGACATCGAAGAAGTGAAACTAAAAAATTTGGAACAGAGTCTAAAAGATAACGCAGCACTTGAACTTGCAAGACAAAGGAAAAAAGAATCACAAGTTTATAAACAAATATAAATACACCAATTTTAAGGGCCAAAAGCTTTTAGCCACTTCTTGTTGTGTACATGGAATTCTTTAATATTGTCTTTATTCTTTGAACTGAAAGTGAAAGTAAAGTAAAGATAGTTTATGCAACATGTGCATTGCTCCAAAAAAACTATTGTAAAAATAATGTGCATACTACTTACTATAAATCTAATTCTGTGTTAAAGCTTATTAGTATTTTTTTCATTAAATTCAAACTTGTATAGTTGATTTAGAAGAAATGCATTATTTTGAAATGTGGGCCATTGTAGTGCCTTTTAATACTTTTATTGTTAGAGAACCTCCATTTGACCTGCATTAAATTAATAATGATGAGGAATCTATTTTTATTAGAATTTAAACAATTTTTACAGAATTCTGATTAAGTACAAACTAACAAACTGGTATAATATTGTAATGTCATCTTTGCAATCATTTGCCACCGTCAAGTGGGATCCATTGGTAAAATTGGACAATTATCGGATAGATTTAGTAATTAGCCATCACTTTGCAACACTGTAAAAAAAACGGATAATGCCCGCCCTATTTTGTCTCATTGCAAAAAAGTAGCCACAAGATGCTACGGTAATGTCCATTGTGGAGGTTTTTTTGGCAAGGACATGTTTGCTGTTGTGGTGTCAAGCATTCACTTACTGAGTGCCCCCTGTTGTCTGTGTGATTTTAATGTAAATAATGTACATTATATCAATATAGTGCATACTCTCTGGTTGTAAAATGTTATAATGTATAAGTTAACAGGAGGCAATAAAAATTATGAGCATTTGTTTTTTTTCTGTCAGAATAATTATTTTAAAAATCTAGCAGAGCATAAGTTAAAAAAATTTAAAAAATTATGACGCCTTGTACTTGTACGGTAATCCAAAATCTTTAACTTTACCATGTTTAGTTCAATTCAATAATTCTGATGATGATGAAAGCAATATTTGCAGCTCTCAAAGCCATAATCTTTATCAAATTTCAATACTTTGGCCATGCACATTATTCTTGGTGCTTTTTTATGATGTATATCAGTAACTTTAAAAACAAATATTTTATTGATTTTAAAAGCTGCTCATCGTTTTGCATACAGATGTTGCTAGTGAAGGGCAACTGGAGTGGGCGCATAATCAAAGTCACTCCCTCAAGATATGTGTTATGTTTCTAAGGAGCTGTGAGCTTCAGACTGCATAAAAGTAAAAGCAAATAGTCATCACTCTACTACAACAGAGTTAATTTGAACTTATGGAAAATTACCAGCTCCGAGACATGCCCCTGCTTTTCTTTTTTTTTTTAAAGTCTGTTTCAAAAGGGGGGAAAAAAATAAAATGCTGTAAAGGAGTCATGAAGCGTCTTGAATGCAACAATATACTCAATGATTGTCAGCATGGCTTCCAAGTCAATAGATCATGTGAGACCCAGCTCCATGAATTTGTAGAAGACTTGATGACCAATCTGGAGAACAGCAAGCAAACTGACGTGCTGTTATGGACTTCGCAAAACTTCAGAGGTATGGGATCCAAGGCACTACCAAAACATGAATCTCTAGCTTCCTCAGCAACTGATACCAGGCAGTAGTGGTGGATGCTACATGCTCTTCCTTTGTTGATGTTAAGTCAAGGGTTCCCCAGGGTTCGGTGCTGGTCCCCTGTTTGTTCTAAGCATACATCATTGACCTACCCGAGAAACCGACCTCCCAAGCAAGACTGTTCGCAGATGACATTGCAGTATGTAGGACGATTGCCAACAGTTCTGACCAGGACCAGCTACAACAGGATTTCCATTGGTGGGAGATGAGCTGGGACATGGGATTTCATCCTGCCAAGTGCCAGACACTGTCAGTCTCCAGAAGTAGTTCCCTTCTACACGACCCTTACGAACTGCATGACCATATACTTGAACCAGTTGAGGTGAAAACACTTGTCACAAATGATAACCTTGCTGTGTAGCCTTTGCAACCAGTGTAATATCCTCAGGCACAGAAACATAGCGAATCCCCTCTACATAAATAGGATCCAGAATGATCAGTACATTGATCGTAGGCCCTAAGATATAGAAATACCATATAGGAATTTATTTATTTTGTTCATAGGTGTGTAACACTCCACCTGGAGCAGAGCAGTAGATACGTAACAGTAACTGGATTACAAAAAACAGCTGTTAACATTACGTAACAGTGTAACAGAAAATGGATTACATAAAACAGTTTGTTAGTATTACAGTAAGAACTTCTTGTCACTGCTAAAGAAATATTAGCAGATCTTTTCTTCCACCCTGACCTGTGCATAATCCAAATTTATTGTCTACGGCTGAAGAGGCAGAATTGGAATATTAGATGCACAGAAGGTCATGTTTTTTGAAAATCAAAATTATAGTGTGGTTTTGAACTGAGTGGTATTACAGGTAAAATGGTTTTCAACTTTCTTTAACTAGACACTTACTTTTGAGGTACAGCAACATAAATCTTCTATTTTTTTATTTTTTAGGTATGATATATGTATAGACTATATATTATGTTAATTTTTTAAAACTTATTTAAATGTTTTGTTGTTGCACTGATGAAGGCATGTGCCGAAACGTATACTTGTGTATTATGTATAATAATTATTATTAAAGCTTAAATTATATTGTTATATTGACACAAATTGCTGGTGTCTAATTAATCTATTTTAAAGCTTTATCGCAGTCCAACACTTTTCATAATTAGTTAATAACATTACCATTACAAGGATAATAACAATCTCTAATTCTCTATCAGTGCAGCAGTGGTATTATCTTTAAGATTTCAATAAACAATTCGGAATAAGTGTTGCTCAATCGTTCTAATCAATAATTATAACTATGGGGATAAAAAAATGAAAGCTGACACATAAAGTCAAGTGCAAATCAATCTTACAGTAGTCTTTATTACAATTTGTACAATTATGCTTAACACGGGAAAAAAAACAAGCCATCAGCATTGATATTTATTTTGTGTAATTATTAACAGTGAATAACAAACATATGAACAGAAGCTTTTGTATTCTTTCATTAAGGAACTTAATACTGCAATAATGTTCACTGAATGTTTCAATTTCAAATTTTGTTAATTTTTTTTTTATAACAAGAACTAATATTTAGAAATATGGATGTGAGCAGTGGCATTGGCAGTTGTGAAATGTGCATAAATAGAAAACAATATTGCTAGTTAGTTCAACTTTAAGTCCTACTGGTAAAAAACCTGCACATGTAGACACAAAAATTACAAGTCACAAAACTCAAAGAAATTAAAAGATAAAGTGATGTCATTTGCAAACATCAGGCTTAGAAAATAATGTTCTGAAAATGTCAGCAAGAGGTTACAGCTTTTTCTTAAATAATAAGGTATGGAGAAATAACTATTCAAGACACACCAAAAGATTACTCGAGTCATTGCTTTATTGAGAAAAAAAAGATTGCTTTTACTAAGCAAATATGTTATTTAAAAGTAAACTTTAGTTTAGAGGTTCAACCAAAAAACTTCAGTTTACACTGGAAAAATGAGAAGGCTATTTCACTTTTTTATTAGGTAAATTGACAAATAAACTTATTTTCGACAGACAACTCTGATTTTGTTTACGTTAAATGGCAAAGTAACATTTTGAACAGACAACTCAGATGTTGGGTCATTGTGATCTTAGGATTAACTTTTCAAAAATCTTCTTTCAGGCTAATAGGTAGGTGTCTCATAATACATACAATTTAAGCAAGCTGTTGAATTACCAGTCATAAAGATCTGAGCTAGGTTTTCTACTTGTTAGCCCTTAAATTCACAACTAAAAACAAAATAGCAAGATGGTGAAGGCTACATCTAAAAGTTATGTGTTTCATCCAGTGCTTTCAAAATGTAATTCTCAGCCATTTTCAAGTTGCTTGTATTCTTACTCCATGCCAAAATTTCTTTGTTCATTTGCTGATTTTCAAGATACTAATGGGTAACCTTAAGATTTCATTATTTAATAACATATCTTATTAAATTACTTAGTGATTTAGCATATATTATAATTTTAATATAATAAGTTTAAATTTAGAATTGTAAGCAAAATCTAATTCAATTTTTGGTACATGTGGTTGTTTCATATACCTACCGGTATTTATTCCATAAATAACAGATTTTACAAGTCTGTTCATTTATTCAAAAATATTTTTCAAGTTTTAGTAGATTTTTAATGTTAGACTTATAAAACACTAAAAAAATTACAAAGCTAATTACTATTGGGGATCTCTTTTCTCTTGGCACAGAAAGTATGTATATATACTATCAGTGTATGATTTTAGCATAGGAAAACACAACTAATTCTTTTATGACAAAGTTTCATGACAAAAGACCCCAAAACGTAGTTATCACATATGTAGCATGCATCATGAAAACATTATGAAACCTCACCCACACAGCTCTCTAACTTGATATTCCCACACTCATTTCTTATGTACCGTAATTTAAGATAAAAGTTTCTGGAAATAAAATAGATTAGAGAACATCTCCAATAAATATCCAACTTTCTTCCACCACAACCTTGACCTTTTTCTCATACTCCCTACGATTCTCCTGGTAAAGCTTAGCTGCTAGATTATTGGCAGGACTGTTTGGGTTGGGTTCGTCCAGTAGAGACTGAAATATGCAAGTGAATTCGGCATTGGGATTATTACAATAAAACCTGTATTGGCACAGATTTACAGGACAAAAATAAGGAGTGTTTACATTTTTTTTAAAATAAATGTTTCAGTTCATTCTAATGCGAATCTTTGATTAGGAACCAGTAATTAAATAATGGCTTCATAGCGAGTGAAATACTAATTCAGAAAAATAATTAGGAATTTAAGGAAAAGGTCAACTTAGCATCACCAACCATCGTTAGGCTTTACACTCACTAATTCATTATCAGAGCATAGAAACTTAATAAATAACCCCCACCCCCTTATGCTCTATGCCAGTCACCACTTATTTTGACTTCTAAAGCTAAGTAATTTTAATTTTGAAAATAGTAACAAACAAGTATTTGAGTAATCAAATGGTCACTATATAAATGCCTAAATGCTATCATCGGGCACCCACAAACAAAAAAAAAAAAGCTTTAATATTAATTAAAATGCCCCAGCTAGAGACATTTTAAATATAGTCAAGAGGAAATTTTAAAGTCGACTATTGAAATTTTACTTGACCGTTTTCACAGCTAACACATAATATCATACGGAGCAGTCTGGATTTCACATCATACTCTTTTTTTCAGTAAGAAATATAGAATACAAACCAACTATATTACATAACAATCACAAGGAATGAAAATAAAAAATAGTAGTGAGACTAATTAACTGAATGCAACATAATGATTATGAAAACACTGCTTTTTTTTTTTTTAGACCAAAGAATATCAATTCAACAGGCAAAAAGTGGCAGAAGATTGTGTTATAATTTAATTTCAAATTTTGAAAAATAAACACATCGACTGCTACAACAATGAAGATATGGATTTGAATGTGATAGAGCTATCTCCATTGCTATTGGATGAAAATGAGATTTTCCAAGACAATATCCTATTACTTCTACGTTAGGACAACTGTGTTATGTTTCAACAACCATAGGGGGGAAAGGTGTAAACAGCTTGATGCTAAAGAATTCAGGCGGCAGCCCCTTCTACTTCATCATAATGCTAAGACCCAGCTTTACTCTCTTCCCCATCTTCTTCATCTTCTCCCTCATCCTCGTCATCGTTCCAGCTTTCCTGAACAATGGCAGCCACTTTTTTCTCATATTCCCTCCGGTTTTCTCTGTACAGCTGTGCAGCCTCATTGTTGGCAGGGCTATTAGGGTTTGGGTCGTGGAGCAGAGACTAAGGATGACAAAACAGAATAGTAAAAGATAGTTTAGTAAGAAAGGGTTCTAAACAACATAACGCACAGGGAGAGATGGAGTAAAATGAAGCTGCTGCAGATACCTTGCTCTCCCCAAAGTTTTCAACAATTTAAATTTACCATTAATGAGATGTCCTTCCACTGAGATGTTTTACATGTTTTTCAGTTAAATTTTAATGAAGTAAACTTTTTTTATATACTTTTATATATATATTTATATGTAAACATACATAAAATAAACAGTTGAAGCAATTTTTTCCCAAAAATTATAGTTAAAATTCTTTTAGCATTAAGAAATATTTCCATATGTACATTTCTCATAGCTAAAAATAAGCTGAGGGCTTTTTTTTCATGCAAAGTTATATTTAAAGAGATGGCAACTTTTCTTGGGTCCCTGATTTGGGAAAAGTAAGAATCCATCAAATGGGAAGGGAAAAGTTTACTGCTCTACCATCACTTAACTTATTCCATTTGTAAGTTGTGACTGACAAAATCAAAAATACTTTATACATTAAACTGCAATGCAGCTAACAATATTTATGGAATGATAAAGTTCTGCGTACTAATTTTTTGGGCCGAGCAAAGAAAAGGTACAATCCAGGGATCTAATTGAAGAACCTAATGATATTTAGGTATGTGTCATCAAATGAATACATAGGATTAATGAAAAGCTAGCATTGGGATCTCTAACTGGGCATTAAAGTAAAGACAACCTAAAAAAAGTATCAAATGGTACAAGCTCTAATGAAGGGAATTAAGGCTTTTGAAACAGAGACACATCGCTCAATTGAATCAGGCAATTTGATCAAACTCTAATGAAGGAAATTAATAGACACATCACTCAACTGATTCAGGCATTTTGATCAAACTCTTATGAAGGAAATTATGGCTTTTGAAACATAGACACATCGCTCAATTGAATCAGTCAATTTGATCAAACTCTAATGAAGGAAATTAGGGCTTTTGTAACAGAGACACATCACTCAATTGAATCAGGCAATTTGATCAAAATCTAATGAAGGAAATTAGGGCTGTTGAAACATAGACACATCGCTCAATTGAATCAGTCAATTTGATCAAACCCTAATGAAGGAAATTAGGGCTTTTGTAACAGAGACACATCACTCGATTGAATCAGGCAATTTGATCAAAATCTAATGAAGGAAATTAGGGCTTTAGACCATAGACACATCGCTCAATTGAATCAGTCAATTTGATCAAACTCTAATGAAGGAAATTAGGGCTTTTGTAACAGAAACACATCACTCGATTGAATCAGGCAATTTGATCAAAATCTAATGACGGAAATTAGGGCTTTTGAAACACAGACACATCGCTCAACTGATTCAGGCATTTTGATCAAACTCTTATGAAGGAAATGAGGGCTTTTGAAACACAGACACATCACTCAATTGAATAAATTAAACTTGTAAATCTCTGGCACATTCAAATGATTCACATGTATTTTTAGAATTTGTCGCAAGTGAGTTATACAATTTATCATTTGAAAAGTTAAACTGGAATACTCTGATCATATTAATGAAATTTTCTTAGAAATTTTTTTTAAATTTTTATATTTCTATAAAAGACACAAAGATGTACTAAAGATATTTGTTCTAAAACCTGTTTATTCATAAGCGGACCCAACTTGTTTTCGATGAGAAAAACCTGAAAAGAGTATAACCCACTCATAAACCATAAAATAATATTCCTATGTAAGCATTACTGGCCCAAAAATATCTAGGATTTGATTCTGCTTGTAAAGGAATAGTGTTGCCATCGTCTTCAAGTATCTTAGTTTTAGGTTATGTGGTAAACTATTACAGAAGCTTTTGAATAAAATATTTTGAAACATGGCATTAAAACTTAATTGTATTTCCATAAGAAAATTAATCAAATAAATAATTAAGTTAAGGATATATATATTTATTAATACTCAAAGCATATGGTAACATATTAGAATCTTTTACTTTCACAGACTATGATCTTGGTGATCTATTATCAAAAATATATTATTTAAAGAATTTACTGGATTATACTCTAAAAAAAAACTACAGTGATCGGCTCAAAAGACTGCCTCTTCACTTATTTCCCCCTGAAAAGTCAGCTTTAGAATGCAAGTATATATCAGCTGTTATGAGAGCAGGATGATGTAGAGCAGTTCAATATAATTGAAATGTTCCATAAGTTTCCTCTTCTTCACTAACATAGAGAAACTTGCATCAATTTTTTTCTAAAGATTTACAAGCTACAAAAGGTTTTCACAAGTGCGACAATGTTTAGTAAGGCTTCTGGATTTTCTGACCAAGATCAAGCAAAACAAAACTCATTGACTACAGAATATTTAGAAACTGCAGTTCCTGAAAACTGTGTGGAAATCTCATGAGAGTGAACCTCTTTGTTTAGAAACAGCAGCATTGTTAAGAACATGGAACGCAACAACTGGAGCAAACAAGATGTTTATGCACATCTACTCAGCATGGAAAAGTAGCTTGGGAATTTGGATGTGCTTTCATTATGAGAATTCCATGCATGCACATTAGGTAAGGTAAAGCAGAGCACAAACTAACCAGTCAGAGAGTAATGAGACTGAGATACCCATTAGAGAGAGATATATGTGGACATTTTTTAGAGCATAGGAGGCTGCCAGTGATGTCTAGTGCAGCGTTCCCAACATGGTGGTCGGCACAACATGAATATTTATCGTCATAAAATACTAAAATGAGTCTCCACATTACTTTCATGAATTTAATAAACTTAAAATCTAATTAAAATTTAAATGGTATTCTTTCAGCTCTTTAATGATATAATAAACAATAACACAATTTTTGTTGCATTGTAAATTTGAATAGAGTAAATGGTTTTCAAAAGAATTTCATCAAGAAGTCTTTGAGCAGCTTCTGATCCTCTACACTAAAACTTGAAAGGAACTTACTGTTGCTCCCATCTATGTGGAGCTTCTGCTGTGGTATACAATGAATTACTATTATATAATGTGGGTATGATGCAAGTTGACCTTAATCCTACATTTACTTTAACTTACTTGAATTGAAGTTAAAATGGCTGAAACATCATATGTGGGACTCCATCTGTTTTGTAAAATATCTAAACATATACTTCCATCTGCATACACTGTGGATTGATACACACAAAAAAATAAGTAGGCAATAGCATGTACATTTTCAAGGTGATGACTAAAAAATTTAGTGGCTTATTTAAAATTTGTAAAAAGCATTGGAATTTAAAAATGATACAAACTGTTAACACTCAAATTTATTTCAATTTTCGTTAAACGTCCATAGATTTATACAGAACAGTATCACCAACTAACCGACTCCTGTCTAACCTACTTAAATGAAAACTTGCCCTCCTGGCTAAGCAAAACTTTAAAATGAACATGTTATTTTTTTTTATAGAAATAAAATATAAAACAAGCAATGTCATTTTTAATTAATTTTTTTATTAAATATCAAAATGAAGTGCTATATTCAAGATAAAAAATATGTTCATTTAGATTAAAAAAACGTTTAATTGTAAGATCTGAAGTTGACTATCCTTATATTTTCAAAAATTACCAGACAGTCATCATGGTCTGTAGTATTATTATCGTAGGGCAATCCTCCGAAGTCCGGTCCCAAATTATTTTCAGTGATTACTCCTTACTTATAAGTCTTGTGCATCATTCTGTTTTGAAATTCATGTTTGCGTTAGTGGACGATGTTGGGTGGAGGCTGTCGGCCGTCGAGATGCACAAACACTCGAGCGCATTATCACTAATCATGTGTTACCAGGGACAACTATCGTCACGGACGCTTGGCGAAGATATCAAAATGTCGGTCAGCTCAACAACGGGATTTATGCTCACGCTGTCATTGTGCAGGCGCGTGAATTTGTTGATCCAGTAGACCAGGACATTCACACATAAATTATTGAAGGACTTTGGATGCAAGCGAAACGTAAACTCCGCTATCAGAGTGGTACTAGTCAGGGTCTGTTTGCCAGCTACTTGGAGCCTTCAGTGGCGCAACAGTCACAAGCAGAACGTTTCGGCTGCTATTTGCAAATGCTATGCGCCAATGACAACATTTAGTATTTACTGACTGGTTTGTAAAGTGACAGTTATTTGCAAACGTTATGACTGACATTTCTGCTGTTTTCTAACAATAGACACTGTGCATTGCATTTTTTTTCATACGAAATAATTTGGGACCGGACTTCGGAGGATTGCCTTATCGTAGTATTATTATCGACAGATGTGTTACAGTATTGATTTTTATAGTCTGTTTCAGACATATCTTCAACTCTGCTAACATTATCACTATTACTTTCTACATTAATTTTAAATTCTACATTGATCCGTTTGATTTTTCATCAGCTTAACTTGCTGGCATGGTAAGCTTAACAACTTGTCACCAATGAGCTTGGAAAGTCATGCTGAACTTTGACCTCTCATAACTTTTTAATGAAAGAAGGTAAAAACATACAATTTTTTTTTTTTTTAAAGATCTTTACTCGCATGAGTGCACAAGTAAATTTTAGCAGAGGAATGTATGGTAGTTTCTTTGCTGGGTGACCAGAAAGAGCATTGTATGTGACAATCTGCCTGACTTGCCACTTCCTCCAATATTAGGCAGGAGGTGTGGTGGCAATCTGCAAGACGAATGGAGGCACTAAAAGCTGTAGATGGTTAATATTAATGAGGAACAGCTTTTAAAGTAAACTTTGAATTTAATTCATAAATTGGTTACTCCTGAAGCCGATTCCATTCACAGTTAGTGGTGGGAAAATACATAATTTTAAACCATAAACTCATGAACACAAAAATCATAATCCCTTTTCAAGATCAGCATGAACATTAATGTAACTTGTATATAGTATTTTAAGAACTGACTTTGGTAACATGGAAATTGCATTCACAAAAACAAATCTCACCATTGGGATGAAACATTTTGGAGATAAATCTTACTGTAGGTGGCTTATTAGGATACTCTTCTGTGAACTCAATTGTTAATTTGAAAGTGCCATCTTCAAATGGAGTGTCATGAGGGCTATTAAATACAATAAAAATATAGCTATAAAAAAAATAAAATGATAAATTTAAGATAAACATTACTGAAATATACTTTGAAATGGACAATAGCTAGAATATCACAGGAACATTTGCACTTCACTAACAGAGCATTTAACATCATTGACTTTTTATATAAATTTAGACTTCATCAAGTTATTTACAATTTTTAGCTTAAAATATACATCATTGAGTTAATTTGAAAATCCTCTACTTTCATTATTTCAGGATTTCCACAATTTAAAAGTATGAACTTGTAATTTTGAAAACGGAATGCACTTGAGGAATTCTTAACCCAACATATAAAGAGTTGTTTTTTCCTTATCATAAAATTGAAGATGACAACTTTGTTAAAAGGTAGATCTAACTTCTTACCCAAATATAACTGCATTCCATAGCATAATATTATTGTCAGATGGAGCACCACTTACTCCTGCTGGCGGATCCTCTTGCAATCTGCAAAATAATATCTTATAATTTTAGTCTTCCCAGTTTTCAATGATCAAACAAAGGCAACCGTAATTTCTTACAGCCCAATGAATTTCACTGACATTAAAAACAAATGTCATAGTGATGAGGCCCACTCAGACAAAGATACACTTTGCCTAATTCCAACAATTTATAATTAAACCAACCAGGTCTACACTTTATAAATAGATTTATAATTATTTAATTATAAAATACAAGTCCATTCTCTAATGACATATTTATTTATCTTTAGATTCTATGACCCACTGTACATTTCTGTGTGTTAAAACTCTGTTAATGTCATAATATGTATTTTAAACATTGTTATATTGTCTCTTAAAAACAATTCATTTTTGAAAATAATATTACAGTTCATAAGACCATCATAGCTTTTTACAAATATGATTATTAAATAGGGTATATACTGTACTATACACATATTTTTTTTTAAATTTAATCATACCTGATGATCAGAAGCTCTATAGTATATATTAATTTACTTTGAGAAATAGACAAATTGTATCTTTGATCAATGTCATATTGAATATACATATTTTTCAGAGTTAGCAAATGTCAAGATGAGTTATTTTCTGTGAAGATATTTTTTTTAATACCGGTTACTTATTCTTCTTAACCCTTTCCCCGGCAACAAATTTTATACCATCCCTGATGACGGGGTGTAGCAAAACCGTACACTTATTGTAATGGGAAAAGTGTTTATGACAATTCTTGGCAACTAGATGGGTTACAGGCATAGTCTTATATAATAGTAAATAGCTCTCTTTTTGCTATTTTCTTGTTTACAATTTGGAATTATTTTTTTGTACCAGCTTTACCAGCCAAAGAAATATACTGTAAATTTGAGTGCTTTCAAAGAAGACAACTTTCTTATACTCTTTCAGTTTACACTGAATAGCACATATAATATAACCATAATATTATTTCAACTATTAGATATAGATCTAGAAGACTAGATGTAAAATTCCTATTTGAAACAGACTTGTCATATTCTTGACACTGAACAACAGCTAATCATGCACACATTTTACCAGGTGCGAAATGGAGAGAAACATCTTCGCTACTCTTGGTGTTCCAGTTGATGATGGGCAAACAAGTGATCAATATGAACCTGACATATCTTACGAAGGAGACTAGGAATGCAGCCATCACAACCAGAAGACATTAGTACTGATTCAAGTAGCTCTGATGATGAGGTCAAGCCAGCAATACTGCAACTATTGACAATGTGCAAACCTTTGAAGGTAGTAATGACAAAGAGAGCAATGAAACAGATGATGATACTGTGCAAAATGGATAAAGAGAAAATATTGGAAAAGACAACATAACAATATGGTATTGTAGACCACTCCCTGAGGCAAGAACTCCCAGAAGAACATACTCAAAATGCCTAGGAACCAAACTCCCTTCAATGATCACATAGTTTCTCAAACTGAAGCATTTCTTCTGTACATTAATGAAAATATGATAAAAACAATAGTTGACTACACCAACAGGGAATGTGAGAAAGTAAAAGGAGATAAATGGCAAAGGACTGATGTGATTGAAATGAAAACTTTTATTGGCTGCCTACTCCACACTGGCGCTCTTCACCAGATCAGCATTTCAGTGGAATTTGTATTCAGTCCTGTTGATGAAATCCTCTTTTGAGGGCAGTGTTGTCAATGAAGAGATTCAACCTTGTGAACTATATTCACTTTGACGACAAGGATATTAGGTTAATATGTCGGGCCCATGACATCTATGCTCCTACAAGAGATAATTGGGAATCATTCTAAGTAATTTGGCAAGGTATTATGTTCCTGGAGAGTACATCACAATAGATGAACAACTGATTGGACTGATGTTGCTCCTACTTAAGCTCCAAAGCGGAAGAGGTGCATGCTGTGCCCAGCAAAAAAAGACAGGAAAACAAAATCTCAATGCAACTTGTGTAGTTGCCAGATTTGTAAAGAACATTCTGTTCTTTTATGTAAAAACTGTCACTGTTTTTCATGTGTAAATGCGACTGTTCTGATTTGAAATGTTTTTGTCAAGTTAAATACATTTTTTTATTGTTTGTACCCTAATGGACTCAAAGTAGTTTATTTATGTATTGTTAAAATTTAAAATATATTTTATGGACCATAATATGGATCATACAAACTCAAATAATCAACAAACAACCAAACAGAATGTTCAAAAGCCAGTTTAGAATTTTTCTTTTCTAATAAATTATGCAAGGATGTGTGTTACACCATGTTGCCAGGAACTGTATAAAAAATAAAAGGCCCCAAAAAATCAGTCACCTTCCCATGCTTCATACGATTGCATCCATCAAGGTGTTTATTCCAACTACCTTGTGGATTATGTCGAGTATGATGAGAGAGATTATAGAAAGGAGACTCGAGATATCAACAATAACAGTCTGCCTCAAGGTGTATTACACCCAGTTGCCGAGGAAAGAATTAAATGAGATTTTTAGCTATCTGTTTTTGTTGAATTGTTTTAATTAGCCTATGCTAACTAACAATTAGTAACACTAATGACTAACAATACCATATCATAAAATATTTAAAACTATCATGGATTAATAGCTGCTTATTCAGCCTTCCAAATGCCACATTTTAAAGAAAAGACATATAATATCTGTAATACTAATTAATACTCTATCACCTAATTTGTATTAAAATTACTCTATGCTACAAACTAGGCCAGGCCCTATGATCAATGATATGCATATTTATAAAGCCTAAGCCTAAAGCCATATGCTATGGCTATGACTTGTTTGAGCTTGCTGACCAGGAACCTAGACATTTTACAAATAAAAGTAGGCCTATTTTATGCAGTTTTTCAAATACAAAAAAAAAAGTTAGCTTAGCCCACTCATAATTTTTTTAAACTTGCAAGTCATTGACTTCATTGAGTTTGAGTATTGAGTCTTAAAGTGTTAATCTTAACTTGACTCAGTAGAAAAAGTGTTTAATGTAATAGGTGTATGATCGATTACTGAAAGTATTTTGAATTTATAGATGTTAAGAAAGACGTAGGAAATCAATTTTATTTAGGCCTAGGACTACTTATTCTTAAATTTCTTAACCATAAAATGATGAATTATATGCAAAAAATCATGAACTGAAGAAGCCATCTTTGTTTTTTCAACCTAGTTTATTGCAAAACAAAAACGGAATTACAGATTTCGTAGCTACATTTGTTCTTTAAGTGAACATATCCAATATTTATTCCAGTAGAAAATTGTACCTTTTAAAATCTCTCATTAAGCGCCGCCTTGCTGGTGTGGTCATTCCGGATAAATAAATAGAAAGAATTCAACAAATAGTGATTGTCTAATAAGAGTGATATGCAGTCCACAGAAATTGAGTATAACATCCGGGTATGAATGACGTCACGTTATCTTAAAATAGGAAAGGGTTTTCCCAAAAAGATACATGGAATAATCTAGGGCGTCTAGGCATTACGATGAGCATTACAATACAACTAACCTGCATCAATTCCCTTTATCCTTTTACAGCAAAAAAAAAAACTTAATCGATTCCCGTTATCCTTTCACAAAATGACTTAGCTAACTCTGACGAAATAGTGTATTCATATAGTGTATATAATTATAATAGATAGAGTATACATAGTTGCATAGTGTATGATTTTACAATCGCCTTGCCGTACCTTTGCCCTTAATTTTTTTAAGACAGACTTTTAATTTTGAGATTTCTGTTCGTCAAGTCCAAGTTAATTTACACACATTGATTCATGTTAAAATGAACAGGAGAATGTATTAAAGAGTTCAGAAATATAACAAATCAGTAGACATGTAGTCGTAGTGAGTAGTGTAGTACTAAATTAGTATGGGCTAAATTTCCCATGCCTCCAGAGGGCAACGCATTTAGGGGCTACAGGCACTACAGCAGAACTAGTGACCATTGCAATTTTGTTTAAAAATAACTGCATCATTTCAAAATTGTTCACTATTAATCCAAGCTTTCTATCGGAGTAGCAAAATGATCAATTCATTCTTTCTAAATATTATAACTTAGAAGCCTCATGAAATATAAAACTAATTTTTTTTTTTCTGTAAATAAAGATGCAATAACAACCAAATGTTAACACATTTTTCAGTATTATTTTGAATGAAAATTCCATATAAAATGCTATATTAGTGTTGATTTTAATTGAAAATACAATGTGGTTCAAAGTTTATAAAAAATTGTATTAGAGTGATTATGTTTCAAAAATAAAGTACTAGGCCTAGGCCCCTATATATTAATTTGGAAATTATAAATCAACCATTGTTGGGGGTGGGGGCGAAGAATTATGTGAGTTGGCCTAGGGCTCAGAAATGTGTAAATAAATACGGCCCCAGGGTTTCTGTCAGCCATCTTTCGGGGGTGGGGGGCACCCCGGGGAAAGTCAAGTGCTCCCTTCCCCCGAGCAAAAATGTGTACAGCAGTATAATGATTATATTATTTGTTTTTAAAAATGACTAAATTGCTATTATTTTAAAAAATTTAAAAGAATAGTATATATGGTGCCTTTAACCGATTATAATTAGTGGAAACTATGAAATATCGCAACGTTCGATATATTTGATGATCCGTATATTAAAGGCTAATCGTTTTAATGCAGCGGTTCTCAACCTGTGGGTCGCGACCCCTTAGGGGGTCGCACGATACTTTCCCAGGGGTCGCCTAAGACCATCTGAAAACACATGTGCTCTACATTTATAAAGTAGCAACGACAATAATTTTGAGGAGGGTGGGGTCGCCACAACATGAGGAATTGTATTAAAGGGTCGCGGCATTAGGAAGGTTGAGAACCACTGTATTAAAGGCTTACAGTATTCAATTAAAAATATCGTACTGGCCGTTCCTGATTATAAACCAAAAGTTTACTTCCTATTGTTCGCACTTTTCTGTATTTTTATTAATTTATTTTATGCAACTTCAAAAATTTTAAGACTTTAGTAATACTGTATGAAATTACCTTTACATCAATATCAATGTCTACTATTCCAATAATAGTTCTCGCTAAGTATCAAATATGCGCAATCTATTTTCAAATTATATTTCATTTTAAAAGCATTACTTTTAAAGTAGGAATAGGTGTTACCGTATTTTACGGACTATAATTATAAGTAGTATAAGACGCACTTTTTTTATTAACAAAATTGCCTCCAAATTTCAGGAGCATCTTAAAGTCGAAATTAATATAAAAATGGTAAAATTTATTTTTTTTTCCTTAAAATTTAAGATGCGTCTTAATTACTGTCCCAAATAGTTGCGCGGATTTTTTAAAATTAATATTTTTTTCTAGATGAGAATTTATCAGAAAGCTCAAAAATAGAAGAAGCTTTTTAACTAGCATTTCGATTATCATGCTAATTCCCTTTTTTGTTGGTAGTTGCTTTTAAAAAATTATTTTTCCAAATTTGTCAATTTAAAATAAATTCTGTGGGTTTGGGAATAAAATGTTTTAAAGTATATTTAAGTGACAATTTGTAATTTACCTGAAAAATGTTATAGTGGTTTGAAATTCCAAATAAAAATTTCAAACAACTGAATATTGGGCTGGGAAAGTTATACTTTATTATGTAAACAACTCATGTCTTCTTCACATAATAATGGCGTTCATATACCAATTATAAGAATTACCAGTTTTTATAACATATAAAAATGTATAGACCTTTCTACTTAGCAGTTGTTGGTTTTTTTTTTCTATTTGACTCTGGTAGAACTTGGAATTATTTAGCAAAGGTTATTAATACACGTAAGTTGATTATTATAAGTCAGTATTTTTTTTCATTTGCGTTCAAACATAAAATGATGTTACCAGTGCTTTTTTGTGATGGAAACCTTTTTTTTCCTTTTGAAAATTCATTTATTAACAAAATAGTTAAGCCCCAAAAAGGTTAAAAATGAAAGCCAAATTACTATTTAGAAATATAAAAAAAAAAATTGCATAACACAAGTAGGGCAAGCAGAGTCGTCGCTCGATTTTTCGAGGCCCCTTTTTGGCTTTGTCCTACTTTTTTTTCCTTTTGAAAAAACAGTTATTAAAAAAATAGTTAAGCCTAAAAAAAATTAAAAATGAAAGCCAAATTACTATTTAGAAATATAAAAAAAAAAAAAATTGCATAACACAAGTAGGGCAAGCAGAGTCGTCGCTCGATTTTTCGAGGCCCCTTTTTGGCTTTGTCCTCTCCCCCCTCCCCCTCTCCCCCCCCCCTTTGCATTGAAAGATGATAATTAAGATATTATCCACATAAAATCTTTAAGTCCCTAAAATATCCGAGGCCCACTGCGGTCGTAGGGGTTGCTGGGTTCCCGCGATGTTTCTAAGGTTAAGTGACATCTACATTTTTTTTTTTTAAACTATCATCTCTGTCGTTGTCCTCCAAGTGTAGAATTTGCTCAAATGCATTCTTGTATTTTGAATTTATCAAAAAATTTCTGGGGACTACAAAAATTTAATAGGCGATATTAAATTATGGAAAATGCGCACCATCAAGGGCACTACAACTGGAATGAATTGAGTTCTTGTCCCCTGGTGCGGCGCTAAAGATGTCTTTGATCATTAGTATGGCTAATTTTAGCGTTTCCCACACGAAAAGTCTAAATAATAGAAATATTGAAATCAATTATACTCTAAAATTCATCGCTTGGCTTTGAAATAATAAAATAAAATTCTGGGGAGAAGGCTTCCTAGACCATACACCGCTCAAGATTCACCTTACTTACTTCATCATGATCATGTCCCTTAGTCATTGGACTGTTTGGGTGCCACGGATGACATGAAAACTATCCTCCTCCATTCCTCTCTGTTTTCTGCACTTCGCACAGCATCGCCTAGTTTTAGTCCCGTCCACTCTTTCATGTTATCTTCCCATCTTTTTCTCTGTCTTCCTCTTCTTGTCTCTCTTCTCGTTGTGCCCTGCATGATTTTCTTTGTCGAGCCCTCGTTTTCTTGTCACGTGACCATACCATCCCAGTTTGATCTTTTTTTTACAGTCAACAGGATGTCATCATGCCACCCAATTGCTTAGAGATATGGTCTCTATAGCAGATTCTAAGAATGCTTCTGAAACATCACATCTCCATTGACTTTTTTTTTCATTCAAGTTCTGCTTTTAATGTCCAGGACTCACGGGTATACAAGAAAATGGAAATGACTAATGAGCGCATCAGCCTGATTTTGGTGCCGGGGGCTATATTTTTTGTCATTTCATATTTTATTAAGCCTCTTTAGTGCTACTGTGGCCTGGGCAAACCTGGACATCAATTCGGGCTCGGAGCCTTATTCTGAGACTATTGCTCCTAGATATTTGAAGTCGCGTACTGTCTCTAATCTTTCCTCCCCGATCTTAATTTCATTGAAGATGCCGGTGGTGTTATTCGTCATCAATTTTGTCTTCTCTCCACTGGTTTGCATGCCAAAGGACGATGAAATCTTGTCGAGACGCTTTACTACGTCGGCTAGCTCTTTTTCGTTTCCAGCCAGTCCATCAGTGGTTCTCAACCTTTCTAGTGCCGCGACCCTTTAATACTGTTTCTCGTGTCGCGGCGACCCCCAAGCCACACAATTATTTTCGTTGATACTTCATAGCTGTAAGGATATATGTTTTCAGGTGGTCTTAGGCGACCCCTGGAAAAGGGTCCCGCGACCCCCAGGTTGAGAACCGCTGATCTATGTCATCCCCAAATCGTGGGTTGGTGATTGTTCTGCCATCAATGCTGACTGTCCCTATATGCGCTTCCAGTGCATCTGACATAATTCTCTCTAAGAAGATGTTGAGCAGGGTGGAGGAGAGCAAGCAGCCTTGTCGTACTCCAACTGAGGTCTTGAACCATTCTCCGATATTATTGTTAAAGAAGACTGCATTGGTGGCCTTATCATAGAGGCTGCATATCATTCTGGTTAGGTTTGTGTTGATGTTGTAGTCTCTCATGGTGGCCATAAAGCAGCACGCCAAACCCTGTCGAATATCTTCTTGAAATCCACAAAGACGTGGTATATGTTTTGTTGGTGTTGAGCATATTTTTCTCACGTAGTTTTCGGAGGTTTATGATCTGCTCAGCACTCCCACGTCCTTGCCTGAAGCCCTCCTGTTCTTCAGCAGTAATTCTGTCGGCATATGGTTTTATTCGGTTCAATATGACCTTCGGCATGACCTTGCTTGGGTGGCTTATTAGGCTAATGGTGCGATAGTTTTGGCATAGCTGTAGGCTACCTTTCTTAGACTTACTTACTTATGCCTTTTACTCCGTCTTGGGCATAGGGCGTCTACAACAATTTTCCATTCATCTCTGTCCTGTGCTTTCCTTTCCAGTTGCTTCCATGTATCTCATACTTTGTATGTTTGCCTCTAGCTCATGCCTCTATGTGTTTAG